TTGGTCCAAACACTTACCACTACGGAACACCACTATAACCACTGGCTACCATACTGAAAAAGACACCTTTATCTTCACTCTTTGCCTTCTGCCAGTCAGCCAATCCTCTATCCATGCCAGTGCCTTGCCCCTAATACAATGGCCTCTTAGCTTACTTAGCAGCCTGCTATATCACATCTTGTCAAAGGTCTTCTGGAAATCCAAATAGATCATGTCCACTGGCTCTCCTTTGTCTAACTTGCTTGTTACCTCAAAGAATTACATCAGATTGTCAGGCATAACCTCCCCTTTATGAGGCCATGTTGACTCAGCCCTATTTTACCATGCAGTTCAAATACTCTGCAATCTCTTCCTTAATAATGAACTCTAAAATCTTACCAGTGACTGAGGTCAGGCTAACTGGCTAATAGTTTCCTCTCTTCTGCCTCCTTCCCATCTTAAACAGGAGCATTACATTACCCATTTTCCAGTCCTGTGGAACCCTCCCTGGCTTCGGTGATTCCTGGAAGATCACCCCCAATGCCTCCACAGTCTCCTCAGTTATGTCCTTCAGAACTCTGGGCTGTAGTCCATCTGATCCGGGTGATTTATTCACCTTCAGACCTTCAACTTCCCCAGCACCTCTTTATCATGGCCACTACACTTATCTCTGCCCCCGACATTCTTGACATTTTGGTATGCCACTGGTGCCTTCTACTGTGAAGACATGCAAATTACCTATTCAGTTCCTCCGCCATTTCTTTGTTCCCCATTAGTACTTATGTAGCCTTGTTTTCCAGTGGTCCAATGTCCACTGTGGCATCTCTCTTACCTTTTTGTAAATTGAGAAAAACTTAATCATCATTTGTGTCACTAGTTAGCTTACTTTCACATTTCATCTTCTCCCTGCTTATTGCTTTTTTGAGTTGTCCTTTGCAAGTTTTTGAAGGCTTCCCAATGCTTCAGCTTCACCAGATTGTAAGCTGCTTCTTTTACACTGTCACTGACTTCCTGTGTGAGCCATGGTTGTCTTGTTTTCTCCTTAGTATGTTTCTTCTTTCTTGGGATGAAATTTTGCTGTGCCTTCCAAATTACCTTCAAACTTCTGTATTTGCTGCTCACCATCTTACCTGCTAGCTTCCTCTTTCAGTCGACTCTGGCCAGCTCCCCACTCATGGCTTTGTAGTTACCTTTACTCAATTGTAATAATGTTACATCTGATTCCAGCTTCTCCCTCTCAAATTGTAGGGTGAATTCTATCAGATTATGGTCGCTGTCCCCTAGGTGTTCCTTCACCTTAAACTCCCTAATCAAGTTTGTGGGTCCCTGGTGTCTGTGAACCCCAAAAACTGGTGTTTAGTTTAAACAATCGCACAATTTAGTTGGTTTGTGCTGTATAATTATATGTAACAAGGCAAGCTTCTGTTTCAGTCTCCTGATTTGTCCAAGCATGCAATTGTATTTTCAAAGGTTATTTGTGTGTTGGATGAGGAAATCTAGTATTGAAAGCATAGTGAATGACCTGATTAACAAAGTATTTTATTATTTCCTTTTGGTGTATATAGAGCTATGCTGCATTTTCAAAAAAAAAATGTCAGCAGTGATTGTTACTGGAAACTATTCTAGTTAGCTCATAATTAGTGACAGAATTCTTATAAGTTTAAATAAAATCTTGGTCAACCTTTGGCTAGTTCAGAAGGTGTTTTCATTCACAATCTCAGAAGCTTGCAACTTGATTTTGTAAGGGGATGCAAATGACTGAAGCTGCAAATTTTAAAAATGTTCTGTAAATTATCAAAGGGAATTTGAATCGGACTAAGCTTTACAGGAAAGTTATGCATTTGTTATCCCTTTATATTTAGAATTTATTGTCATGTGTAATTTTACAAGTAAAATACAAGAGAAGTGTTATGTTGCCTTACTGTGGCACCTGTATTAATGATGGTAACTTACTTAGAAACCTTTCTCATAGGATCCCTAGAGTGTGGAAAGAAGCCATTTAGCCCATCGAGTCTGCACCCAACCCTCTGAACAACATCCCATCCAAACTCAGCCACTCCACCCTCTACATAGTCCTGCATTTACCATGGCTAATCCATCCAGCTTGCACATTTTTGGACTGTGGGAGGAAACTAAAGCACCTGGCAGAAACCTAGGCACCCATGGGGATAATGTGCAAATTTCACACAGTCACCCAAGGCTGGATTCAAACCGGTCTCTGGTGTTCGTGGTGCTGAGAGGCTAACCACTGAACCACCGTGCTGCCCTTTATGTTGCATTGTTTGTCAAAACAGTTGTGAATATAAGAATGATTTTTTTTTTCTACAGTGCTGTTGGCCTAAGTGTGATGTGGGTGAACTACTCTTTATGTTCAGGATGCAGTTTAATAGAATCTTTGTACTTGAAAAAATAATTACTTGGAAGTATTTTCATATGTATTACTTTACCATCTGTATAACTGGGATAAGGGCTGGTTTCTACAGCCTGCAGAACTAGGAGTGTGATTTAACCATATCATGACATGGATACACTTTTTGCATAGTATAAAGTACTATACAGTACATTATGCCTTCCATTTTCTCCCCTGTTCTTAAAATACAAGCTAGACTGATTAGACCTAAAATTTGCAGTTTTTATTTTTAATACAAGCAAAAACAAAAGTCTGCCTGTTCTTAGTTGCTCTATGACAGTTTGAATAAAACATGTTTATTGTCTAGTGAAATGTATCATGAAACTCAACTTGAGCTTTTGAATCCAGGTTGCTGACTGTACAGTGCATGGTGGTAACCCATAGTGAGCATTTTTATTTTGTCTCTAAGTATGGTTGAAATGAAAAATGAATAGGTGGCATGGAGTGTGGGCAAGGCTCAGTCCATAAACTTTAACTGGAGCAAAATTAAAACGCAGCACTGGTACATTAATTCTGAAGGAACCTGTACTCCAAATAAGAATTGTGACTTAATGCCAATCTTTTCCCCGTACTCCTGCACATTGGTTCTATTTAAATAATTATTCAATGCCATTTTGAATGTGTCAATTCCATGCTACTTGTGTGAAAGAGTTTTTTTGTCAGGTCCCATTTGTTTCTTTTGCAAATTGTTCTTGATCCTTTTTTGAGTGGAAACCATTTCTCACTATCAGCTCTATCCAGCCCCGTCATGATTTTGAAATTGTCTATCAGATCTCCTCTTAGCTGCCTTCTGTCTAAGGAGAACAGTCCAAACCTCCTTTCTATCCTCATAACTGAAGTTTCTGACAAAACCCTCATATAATTTCCCTGCTGTTGTACTCTGTGTCTATTAATAAACTAAGGATATTGTATGTTTTATTCACTCCACTGTCTGACCCCTTCAGTGATCTGTGCACATATACACTCGGGTCCCTCTATGCCTGCACATCCTATTTTGCATTGTCTGTCCGTGTACTTCTGACCAAAACCACATTATTTCACACTTATCCACATTGAACATTCTCTGCCACCTTTCTGCTTATTCCACCAACATTTCAGTGTCCTTTTGAAGTTCTCCTCACAGTTTACAAAGCTTCCAAGTTTTGTAGCATCCACAAACTTTTAATTGTGGCCTGCACAACAAGCTGTGGATCATTGTATATATCTGGATTAAAGGGTTCCAATACTGAACACTGGCGAATGAAAAATATCCAATTACCATTTCTCTCTATTTCCTACCAATCAGCCAGTTCTTTTATCCATGTTGCTGCTGCCCCTTTAATTTCATAAACTAAACTTTTCTCTTAGGTCTAATGTGTTCCCCTATGTCAAATGCTTTCTGGAAGTCGATGTACACTACATCAACAGCATTGCCTTTGATCCTTTGTTACCTCTTCAAAAAGACTCCAGCATATTATTGGTTAAATATGATTTCCTCCTTATAAATCCATGCTCCTCATTCTAATCAACCCAAACTTTTCCACATGCCTACCAGTAACCTCCTGACTAACTGTTTCTTGAGGCTTCCTCACCACTGAAGTTAAACTGGCTGCTCTAAGTGTTGAATTATGGATCTGGAAAACTTCTGATGCACTGTAAAAGCTGGCATCTGAAATTCAAGTTACCTGAATGATGTATATTCCGAATATTGCATGCATGCAATATAATATTTTGCCTGAATTTTATACTAATGCAGTAACATTAATATTGAGAATCAGGAGTATCCTTGCCTTACATTCAGACATAACCATTTCACATGGTTGTTTATTCCTTCACACAGTTGGAGTGTGAAAATGCAAATGTTTATCTGTTGGAGCACCAATATTCTGTACGTTGGGAAGGGAAAGAAACATTAGCTTCAGACTCCTTCTGAAGCATTGAACAGGTGGTTCAGAGAGGTATTAGTCCATCTGATCCCTCAATTGAGGGTACAGCATTCTCCAAAAGATATGTGCCAAAATTAGATAGGGTGTAGTTCATCTTCAGATTTCTTCAATGTGCATTCCTGAGAGAACCATAATTTCTGTTCCTTTCTCACAAAGGATAGCAAATTAAGTTAAGTGGTTAGAATAATGGAAATAATCATGAATTAAGTGGGACATGTTTTTGTGAAGAACAAGAACTTGTCTTAGCCTGTTGTGCCAGAAATAATTCTGTAATTCCATTGTATTATTCCCTCCCCTCAACCCTAAAAGAAAATCCAGCCATTGCTGGGTGGGGGGCGGGGGAATATCTTCCAGTATTGGAGTCGTACATTAATTCACTCCCTTTAGAAAGACTGTTTAGTGTTTACACCAAAAGAGTCAATAATATGGTTTTATGCCAGCACCATCCTTTCATTGTGAGTATGCTTGCATAGTAAGTCCAATTACTCAAGCAAATACACTGCACAGTGTGCAGTGCATTGAGCAACTTCTGAGAAATTCGATGCTGCAATCTATGACATTTACATTTGGGGTCATAACATTTTACCAAAGGGAAAAACAAAGTGGTACTATACAATTTGGAATCCACTTCAAATTATGCCAGTTTATTTGGGGCATTAGTTGAGTCCAGTTTGTTTCTTTTGCAGTGTGATATGTAGCATCAGAAATGCCTTATGTGGATCGACAGAATCGTATTTGTGGATTTCTAGACATTGAAGAAAATGAAAACAGTGGAAAATTTCTGCGTCGATACTTCATACTGGACACTCGAGCTGACAGTTTGCTATGGTATATGGACAATCCACAGGTCAGATTTTGAACAACTCTGTTAAGCTCATACTGTAATCATACTTTTTCACAAATGGTAGTTTTATATAGGACTGGGTTCTACCCCAGACCGCAACGTGCTTCATAAAATACGATGTCAATGGTAAATGTGGTACCACTTCTGATTGTATTTTAATGTGCAAGTCTGCATTACAATTGAGCAATTCATTGCCGATTCTTGAACCTACTTGCTTAATACCAGGAACAAAACAGTTTATATAAAATTAGTTCAGTCATTCTAGGCAGATTTTAGCAAGTCTGGGGGAGGGGAAGGGGGTTCTGAAATAAATAGGGAGGGGGAGAGGCGGATAGAAGATGGATAGAGGAGAAGATAGGTGGAGAGAAGACAGACCGGTCAAAGAGGCAGGGATGGAGCCAGTAAAGATGAGCGTAGGTAGGGAGGAGATAGGTCAGTCCAGGGAGGACGGACAGGTCATGGGGGCGGGATGAGGTTAGTAGGTAGGAGATGGGGGTG